CACCTCCAATTTGTAATCCTATTCAATAAAAAAAAAAAAAACCACTCTAATATTAGGACCTTCCTCAATTCAAGGATATCTATTTTGTGTTGAAGTCAAATCAGCTTATGACTTTCATTTAAAAAATGAAAAGAAATGGAGATGCAGGGTATCGATCCCCGTACCTCTCGCATGCTAAGCGAGCGCTCTACCATCTGAGCTACATCCCCGTGTGTGCAGAAAATTTATAAATATAGTATATTTCTAACTGCACCCTACGGCATAGGTGGCTTTGCTTTAGTGGCGGCGATGACTGGAAAGGTTCCTGGTCCATCGCCTGCGTTCAAACAGATTCCCATCCTATTTCTTTCTCCGGAGCAAACAACGCTTCCGTTGCCTCGGTTGCTGTTAGTCCGACGCAACCTGTGAGAGCTCTGGGGTTCCGGCTTCCAACCGTCGCCGAATAGACTTTCTGCCTTTCGTCCTATCCACGGTATTTTTGCCCCTAACTTGTTTTGCCAATTTCATTGCTGTCCTACAAATTTTTTATTTTGTTTCCGCTAAATCAACATACAGCCATGCATCGGAGCAATTTTTTTTTATGGATAACATGGCTCCGAGCCTTTTGTCCAATTAATCTTACAAGACCCTCCAAACTCCTCACATCCTCTAGAACCCAAAACAAAACCTTTGCCTTTACAGTTTATTTAACTTAAGAGGAATAGAAGGTAAAAATAAAAAATTTCTCCCTTTAATTAATAAAAAAAATTAAAGAGAAGGAGTTTAGAAAAAAAATTTATACTTTATTTTAAAAAAATTATTTATTTTTTGAATGAGAAAAGGAAAAGAAATGAAAATAAAAGAGGATAAAAGAATGCAATTCTTCTCTCCATCCTTTCTCTTTCATCTATTCCCTCAAATTAACATACAGTTAAGGTAAGGTTGGTAAGGTATAGGTTAATAAAATTATTTATAATCTCTTTAAATAAAAAAAAATTGTGTTTAAATGTCTTCTATTATTAATTTTTAATTTAATTTAAATTACATAATTAAAAATAACTTTTACACATTTCATGATCCACTTAACTAATATAATATTTGCACCTTAAACAAAAAACTCTTAATTTAGATATCATTCCTCCGCTACTCAGCGGTTGTTATAATTAATACAGCAAGTGCTAGACGTGACAGAACATATTTACAGTTTTGCATACTTCTTGAGATTTTTTCCAGCCTCCCTTGCATGCTCTGGCACCGGCATGTTACACAAAAGGGTAACCCTAGATGATGACACCAAAGATTTGCTCTCGGAGTTTGAAGGATCAATCTTCCACAGTCGAACCTCCCACACCTGTTTGAAAAAAATTGCTGGTAATTAGCATCAATCTATATATGGACCAAGTGAATTATGCTATTCTCCAGGACAAAGTTTAATCATCATCAATGCATTATTTATTGTGGGAGGTAGTCGGTGACCTGAATAGTTCTGCCAACGTTGAGTGGGGTGGCTTCAGCGTGGACGAGATCACCAATATCGGCCCGCTTCAAATGATTGATGCTGAGGTTGATTCCTGCGACTCTCTGATACCCAGAGGCCATGTGGGCCCCTGCGCTGGCCAACGACTCGGCAATCAGGGCCGATACTCCTCCGTGCAAAACCTTGAATGGCTGTTTTTTGTTTTTTTTTTTTTGGGAAAATCATTTCGTATACTCTCTATACCATCAACCTCGTAAATCCGGAAATTCTAATTCGAAACAGAGGAAAGAAAGACAGGAAATTAAATCACCTGGCAACACTTGTTGGTGACCTGAATGCGTCCGGTGACTTTGTTGGGAGACAATTCTAAAAACTCAAACCCCAAAGCGTGCAACGGAAAATCCAAAGCTGCCGTCTTATCCGACCCCGATGATTGATCCATACCGAAACGATGATACCTTCACCTTTCTCTTGCGTCGGTGTTCAAACAAGGGGAAGGAAGGGGAGATATGAGACGATAACAATTGTTTGGTAGTGATCGTGTAAAGAAATTTGTCAGTGTGGGACAGACGTAACAGTAGGTGTTGACCCTAGTTGCCTAATTTGACCAAAAAATTTTATTCCTTGAAGGTTGGGATTATTAGTATTACCCCCAATTATTTTATTAAAATCAGCCGTTATAACCATAATTTTATTAGATTATAAATTTTTAAATAATTAATTATAATATTTAAAA